AGGAGGTTGATACATACAAAAGGGCACCACAACCCAAACATGATAAAAATAAAATAAAAATGACCAGAAATGTTTCCTGAAATCCATAGAAAAAGCAGAGATTTCACTTCATTCCCAAACTGAAATCCAAAATGCCTCCTTTGCATATAAAAGTCATTGGTGGTTGTGGTAAAAAACTGTACCTTTCTCATTCAAATGAAATTTTTCATATACACAGTTCCAAACGTGTTACTACACGACAGTACAAAAGGCAGGGAACTGAACAGTTATCTGTTTTTATTTCTAAAAGTAGTCAGGCCAGCAAGCATATTAATAAAAAAATCATACTGGTTTAAAACTGAAATCTTGAAGTAACATCCAACCCAAATTAAAAGTGATCAATTTCAAAGAGTCACATTCAGATTTAAATGGAGCATAACATAAGGAGACATCAGCTCTGGATTCTGGTGTGTTATGAGCATAATTGTCAGAAGTTTCTCCACTTTTCTTTTGAGAAGATTCTGATGTAGTGAAGCCTTTATCGCTGCTGTGTACCAATAAAGGCAGCCCAAGAATCAGCAGTAGTAGTTGTACCACAGACTGAGGCACATAGCATTAGAGAGGATTGCTCATAATTTACAGAGAAACTATGTATCCTCCACAGTTAATTGATTTCCTGCTTGCATGAGGCCAAATGGTGGTATTGTGCCGTTTTCCGCCTTGTGGGAACTCTTCTTTACGACACAATGGGTGTAGGTGCCATCATGTACCTATCATTTCTAACATCAGGTCACTGCAACCTCTCTACACCCTACATGGGAGGTAGCTGTATGACCCAACCACCTGGCCTCATGCATATCAAAGATGTAACCTCTATCAAAACCTGCCAAGTGCCACTAATGCTGCATAATGCATCCACAAAGTATCCCCTTTGTGTGACCTTCACAAGTTGTTCTGACTGACTGACATTTTGGTAACTTGCACCATGACGCTCTTTCTAGAACTGCCAGCATCTTCTAAATTGAATCATTTACATAGTAATAGCTGGTCTGCATGTGCACCACATTGTGTACAAACTGGATCATTCCTTATTGGTCCTTAAATCAACGAGTGTACAAGGTAGATGCAAAGGTTTACTTTACTTTAGGGAAACACGACTTGGACTCACAGCTTTGTAGAACCGTGCTTCAAAAACTTAGAAATATTTCTCTAATGCAAAACTTAGTAAGTGTGCAACATGGACATTTAGTGAGAAAATATGCAACGCTTGGTTCTGCTTTTAAAATCACAAGTGCAGAAGTAAGAGTTAAAGCAGTACTGTTCAACAACCCTTAAAGTCTCCTTGGATGCTAAATGGTCATTTTGCCTTTTACACTTAATTTATACACACTGCACACATGTCAGTATTTTAAAAGCATTTTCTTCTGTCTGTTATTATAAAAAATCACTTTCAGGGACTCCAACTGTTTATGGATTTAAAAAGATTTTCCAAAACTTTCTAACCTCCAGGTTTTGTAATATTGACAGCAAAATATGTTTGCTAGCTCAATTGTCTTCCTATATAGCCTTTGTATATAAGGGAAAATAAATTCTAGTTTGAGGGCCGCAGTGACTGCACAATCCAGAAATATAGTGTTGTGCTATTAGATTATTACAATACTGATGTAGATGAAAACATATCAGACATCTCAGCTTTATGTCCACACTGCACAACATTATGCTTTCATTAAAATGTAAAAAAGTAGCATCTATGCCTAATATTCACATACATTTGACTTAGTCTGAATAAATACAAACAGCAAAAAAAGAGTTTCCTCTTTTTTTCCCCATACCTCCCCTTCTATCTGCTCTCACATCTTTTTATTTCTAATCTTCTCTCAATTATTTTTACTCTCACTTATCTTGTCTCAATTTAGCTTCCTGTCGCTTCCTCTGCCATCTTTTAAAAAAACAAATCTTTCACCTTTTTCATTTAGCCAGTATTTCTTCTGTACCATTATGTCTCTTTTTTCCCCACTGGCTCTCATGTTGGTTTTTATTTACTGATCCCTCGGTTCAGATTTTCTTTCTGCCTTTTTATTATCCTTTCAGCACCTTGGTATGGAGCATGACAAAATTATTCACAGCCTGTCATTTGTGTTGCAGCGAAGAACTAATCTGTAGCTGAGCCCTGATTCTGGATCATCATCTAACAGATGAAACCACTGGCCTTCATCGAAGAATATAAAATTAAATGAGCCGCTAAAATAGCATGCAGGAATAACATGTAAGTAAACACAGACATCGATGAAGAATGGATCTTGCTCGTGTTCAGGGAAACACTGACACTCTGTGGTCATAAAAAATAATTGTGGCTCCATAGTCATTAAAATACAATCCAAAATATGAAGGACATTTATTATGTTTTTGAAAGCTTTTCTCTTTCAGTTTTTGGTCAACTTTGTAGATAAAAAAAAATATTTGATCCGTCTTTTATGACTGTGAAACTGTGAACAGAGGATGAAAATGTTTGGGATAAAAATACAGCAGAAGCTCACGGCACATTGAGCGAAGTCACTGCAGTGCGCTGTACTAGTGTGGATTTCACAACAGTACAGAAATGTAGCAAACATTATTTGGTCACTTCATTAAGTTTTTCCCGTCATGGTAAATTGAGTAGTCCTAAAAAGTTACTGTAAGTCAAAGATACATGTGTTCAGTGGAAAGGAGGTGAAAATGTGCACATACAATCAGACTACTGATGCAGTCAAACATTCATTTGGCTCAGACACCAAGAAAAACTTTTGCTGCTGAAGCCAATTATGATGAACATGCAAAAGACTCCTATATCCTTTGAGCTTTGATGAAGATGTTACACCTTCTGTAGATCTGATTAGGAGCAACTTCTTCTCATTGATAAGTTTACAACATTATCTCCAACATTTAACAACCTGAAACCTCTGAGAAGAGTAAATCGGCTGAGTAAGGTGAGTCGGCACGTGGTTAAAATACAGTGGGAAAATCCAGGCCAGATTTAGTTGCATTTGTTCCTGAATGAGTCGGCTTCTAAATGTTTGATATCCTCTCCTTTTTTAGAAGAAAACCTCCTTCGCTTACTGCAGTGAAAAACGGAAGCAGAGTGGGAGTTTAGAGAGTGACACGACAGAGAAAGGAGAGTTACAAGGGGAAGAAATAGGCGGAGCAAGGGGGAAAAAATCTGCCAGAGTGAAGAAAGACAGATCTGACAGCTTAGTTGGAGAGGGAAAGAAAAATTGGAAAGATGCTTGAGTGGGTTTAACAGGGTAAAGAAGACAGAGAAATGTGTCTGATTCTGCAAAGGGAGATGGTGGGGTGGGACACATGGAGGAAAAGGCACAAGGAAAGAAAGAAGGAAGCACACGAGGAACCATTGAAAAAAAGCGGCCAGAAAAGGCATTACGGACAGAAGAAAGGGGGAATGCTTAAAAGAAATGTAGGACAGAGGAAAGGAAGCTACAGAGGGAAGCCGCTGGAAGAAAACAAAAAGGGAACAAGAAAATTCAAATGAAGCAAAGACAGAAAGAAAAATAGAACTGAAGGACAAGGATGGGCAGACACAATAATGTAAAATAAAAAAGGTCTGTCGCTCTTCACTGTTCATAGTTGCTACATAAAAAATAAATAAATAAATAAATTGGATTGAAAATTTGCATCCACTGACACCGTGAATATCAAAAGAATGAGAAAAGAAAAATTAAGAAAGAATAGAGAGGGTCAAACTCAGGATCTCCAGCACAAATAGAGATTAATTTGGAATGCTAAACCTCAGCCCTATAGGTTTACTATTCATTACAGTGCAGCCTTCCACCTACAGTGGTTCACAGACTTCAGAATTAGCAGTTCACTGTTTTGTTGTTTTAAGAATAGGACACCATGCATTCACAGAGGAACAGCATAAAAAAAGACAGAGAATAAAAAGCTGCAACATTTATGTCCCGTTTCTCACGCTTAAATATATAACTGTTACACTTCAGATTGTGAACAACAGGTTTATGTGTTATTTTGAGTTTACTCAAGTGTATGTAGTGTTTCCCAGTCTGGTCTAGATTAGTTATCAGCACCAGGTCAACCATGTCTGACTGAACCAAATGGAAACAAATCCAGGAACAATGTGGAGCTTTTTAGCAGATTTTAGGATTCTCCCACTTGGTGCAAACCAGAACCCCTGCTGGCTACAGGCTTGCTTCTCTTTCATGTCACTTTAGATGCTTTCTTAACAAGGAGTTTAATTCCTTTAATGTAAGAAAATCTGGCACAATGCCTCCAAGCAAGCCACTAACAGATAACTGTGCTCCACCGTGTTGCTCTTGCAGAGCAAATGCGAGTTATTTTAAGCACAGTTCAGACATCGCATTTAACAAGATTCAATCACAAGACAGCTCAAAGTACAGTCTGCTATAAACTGTATCCATCCAGTTGATTTTCAGAGACTGATGATTGTGGAATGAGAAATTAGCTGCAGAGCGCTGAGAGGTAAAAGTCCTCTCACTGAAACTAGTGAGCTAAGCACTAGTTTTCATGGTACTCAGAAGTGTAGAGTTTGAAATATAAAACTTAAAGCACCCAAACAAAACATGTAGATATTATGTCCAAATTCAATCAATACATTTCTACAAGGTCTGAAACACGCTACTTCTCTTCTTCACCCTTTGATTGTCTCACATTGAGTCAACCTGAGTCGACAGTGTTAATATCTTTCTATTTTGAGTTTATTGTAAGCAAAGTGAGTAGTGGTGTTTTTAACTTTGATACTACAATAACAAGAGATTCATCCAGCACAAAAAAACATATGCTATTGCAAAAAACAACAGATAAGTCTCAAACAAATTACTAAAATATACCATCCAGTTTTGCTGATAGAAATTCCACAAAGTAAGGAAATCAAAGTTTAGTCATTTAAATATGCAGAGCTTAGAGAAATCAGTGGACAACATTAACAGAGGTGGAGGATTAAGAGAAGATTTAACAGGAACGGGAAGAAGAAATATGAGCTGTCATCCTACCTCCAGCGATGGCTGTTTTCTTGCCCACCGTCACAGTCACAGCAGTGGAGCTAATCACAATTCTTCCTGCTGGTAGAGCAACAGAAACAATCTTAAAAAGAAAATCCTGGATAATCATGCATAATGAGACATACGGCTGCATGCATGCTTTTCTGACATGCAGAAGCACAATACACTGTTTTTTATTATTATTATTAATCAGCATTTTAGAAAGTTACTGTCAGGTGAATGCATTATATTTGCTGAAATGTATTTAGAAAAATGTGTGGCAGGCTGACTTGCACTAAGTCATATTAAGATTCATACTCTGTTTTAAATCTGTTTTGCATCTATTTGCAGCCTTCAGCACATGCTGACAGTCATCAAGCCTCAGATTTTTAACAGATTAACATTTCAAGTGTGACATAACTGAGATTAGGAGAGCTAATGAAATAATACATTCATAACCAAAGGAATGCATTTGGGTATTTTGGGAGTCTCTGTATTTATTTTCCGTTACTTATCCTGTGAGAGACAACATGCACTGCATAGATTCTCTGATATAATTTTTATAATGATGTGTACGATTGAAATGGGTCAAAATGAAGCAGCAAGAAGCTTCCTCTCTGATGGGAGAAAACTGACAGGATGTTCTCATATTTAAATGGCATGCTTTATGAGTAGGAACCGGAAAGATAAAAAGGAAAAGGCAGGACTGAGCCAAAACTGAAAATGAACTAAAAACAGAAACACAGAGCTACAGCAATTTATATCATCTTGAGCCCAGAGCCAAGGAAAATTATGGGCAGGATAGATTCAAAAGTGGAGGCATGCCAAGTATGAGAGGCAGTTCTCTACCCTGCTCCTCCACATGGTGTTGCACCTCTTCTGAACTGAAGGTGGCGCTATAGGCAGCCTCATAATCCCTGAATATATCTGAAAATGACACACTATCTTTTTTTCACCATCGTCCTAAAACATTTCGATGATTATTTAAAATTTAACATGCACTATTTAACATAAATTAATAATTTGTATTAAACAATCTGAGAATGTGAAAACATTAAAAAGGAAAAAAACAATCTTTCAACTTTACTCTCAGAAAACCCTTTAAAGTTTTGAACAGTCCTTGCCTTGCAAACGCATTTGATCACATTGCGATCACTAACATGAAAGTGTTTTATTCGGATTTTATTTGAAAGAGCAACATAAAGTTGAGAATAATTGTCAACTGAAAGGAAAGTGAATAAGAATTTTGTGCAAATAAAGTCTAAAACATTGTTTCCGATATATTTATTCACTTTTCCACCACGTTGGCAAAAAAGTTACATTTTGTTCTCAAAATTACTTCAGGATGCATACGACAGGATTTGATAGGTTTATTAGGATTTTGTAAAGTGACAAAATATGAAAAAGTTTATTTTTCAACTTCTTTTTATTGTGTAAAGAATTAAAACTTATTTCACCAATATTTTCTGTGACTAGGAACAATTCTCCCGATTACGTCAACAAATACCTTCCTTTTGATAAACACGATATAAATGCACGTATAGACACAATTATAAAGGTGATCCCTCTACCTCTTGTGTCCTGTCTGGGCATGTAGTACAGAAACTGTCCGATTGGATACTCTGCTGCTCTCCGGTACCACACAGGGAAATGGTCCAGAGTGAACATATTTTCTTTATCTGTGGAGGTCAGGAAAGACCTACGGGGACAAAAGCCATTGAAGTTTACCTTTAGTTTAAAATCTATATATGCGAAGAACAACAGATAAATTAATTGAATGTTAGTAGAAAATAATGCTTATTCTCAATTTGGAAGAAAACAGAGGGAAAATCAAATCAGAGGAGTCAAGTCAATGACCTGCTTGACTGTCGGGTAGATTTTATATGAAACCTCATAAACATTGTAGCTGTTTAAATAAACACACAATGCCACTTTAACACTCACTTGCCAACTCTTTTTTCAACACCCGTGTATCTCAGGAACCTCTGCAGGCCTGAACGAGTTCCCAAGAAAGCAGTCTCAACACCATCATCCATACTGGGAGAGCAGGAAAACACAAAGCTAAAAGGTGAGGCCAGGTTGAAATATAAGGCTGGAAACCCAACATTGCACCCAGAAAGAATTGTTATGTGTTTCATTTCAGTGTTTTTGTTCACCTAGATGTGTTAAGCATGAGAGCAGTCCAGTATGCTTCCATAGGTGCTGTAACAACAGCATCAAATAGAGTCTGTTGCAACAACTGTGTATCACCTGTAAGGACAAAATAAGAGGGAAAAAATCTGAAAGTTTTCAAAGAAATTATTTACAGTTCAAATTGCATGTAAACAACATTATTCTGTAAATGAAACTGAGTGCAGGCTTACAGCGCAGATCTTTTTCTTTCCCAGTGAGATATTTTATGACAGCCTGCAGCTGGGTCAGTTTGCGATGTGCTGGGTCGATATCTATCTCACAATAGGTCCTGCAAAAACAAAATATGCAGATAAATATTTGCAAGAAGGAAAACAACCTTTCCACTGAAACTTTTAAAAGGAAATTCAATAATGTATGTTTACCACTCATTGGCTAAGGTCAGATCTGGAGTGATTAAGTCATGAAGACCTGAAGAACAAAGAAAGAGGAAGAGGAGAGGCTGAAAAGATTTGTTCTCTTAAAAAAAACAGATTCACTGAAGCTTTAGATCTACCTTCATCCAGTGAGACATTTCCTGAGAAGATGTACTCTCCATACCCTCTACTCAAGACTATACCAAGACTGTCAAAATAGAAACAGAAAACATCTTATTTATATATGCTTACAGGTGATTTCATCTAAAAATATACATTTTCTCTTTACAGCCACAATTTTAAATACACTTTTTGGGATTGTGTGTGACAAAATAACACTAAGTGGTGATTAATTATGAAGTGGAGCAGAAAAAAAATGTTTCTAAAGCTTATTTATTTAAAAAAAAATGGCATCAGATGTCACTAAAAGGCCATGAAGTCCTCAGTGGTCTGTTCCAGAACATTAGTGAACAAACAGCATCGCAACAGCCAGACAGCAGAAAGGTCAGGGAGGAAGTTTAAAGCAGGGTTACTCAGCGCTAAAAGTGTGTTCACAGTGACCTTGAACTATTTTGCATGAGAACAATCATCTTTTAATGTACAAAGCTGGGAGCGACACAAAAGGTTGGCAGCTGTAAGCGCAATGAGAGGTGGTTCCACAAAGTATTAACTCAGGAGTCTGAATCCAAATCCATGCCACACTTTTCATATGGAAAAAAATCTTTGAAAGTCAACAGATCATTTCGTTTCTAAGTCAGAATCCTGGACTGTCTCATAACACATCTACTCCCAATGAAGCACATTGAAGTTTCTGGCTCTAAAGCAACAAAATATGGAAAAGAAATTGAAGTGGTGTGAATACACAGTAGATGCAAAAATAATACTTTTTGCAAATAATCAATTAGTTTTGATTATTTGCAAAACTAATCAAACAAACCTGAATGGTGTCTCATTTATGACGGTGTAAAAATAATCATTCTTCAAAAAGATTACTCTCCTCTGCAAGAAAGAACCACACAGATCACAAATTTGACAAGAATAAAATAATAACCATTCACAACAGATAAAACCACCATCTCTATTAATTCAGCCATATTCTGAATTAATTTAGATAACAATAGATAAAAAAAATACTTATTTAAATGGAATGAAAACCTGCCAGGAAACAATAAAAGATTGCCTGCTCTAAAATTACAGCAGCAACTATTTCACAAAAGGAAGCAAAACACGTACTCCTTTGTCCACTGAAGATCTCACATCTAAAGACATTGTGCCGGTTTCTCCTTTGACCATGGCTGTCCTCAGCTATCAACAGAAACACAACATATTCAGGACTCTTGTACAGCAGCCATTCAATAAAAAAAAAGATATATATGTATATATATATGAAACACAAAATTGTACACTGACTTTCTCCTCAGTATCCTCCCATTCAACCTCTGACAGATCCACACTGTTGTAGTTTGGTTTAGGCTTCAGTTTCTTTCCCTCTTTATACTGTCACAGACAAAAACACAGACATGTGGGAGATGGTTTAATAAAAGCTCAACATTCTCTCAGAGGATGTGAAGCAAATCTTTGCATGTACCAGAGGCCGTAGATCTGGATGAGACAGGATGTAACCATTATTGGTGATGAGGAAGGCATAACCATGGATACCCAGCTGGAGGAACAGAACAGCAGAAAACCACTTATATCTCCTTACAGTGATGACATTAATGATATTACACGGTGTGTTACAGTCACACACATTGCTGTTTAAAAAGATGTGCTCAATTAACATAAAAATTACAAATACAGCACAGCACTGCAGATCCTACATAAAGACAGCAAGGAAGAAAACACCATAAAAACAGCACAGCAACAGCTTAAAAGAACACACTAAGAAATAAAATAGAGTCCGGATTCGGCTGATTTTTAGCTTGTTCCTTCCTGATCAGTGATCAGCAACTGATTATTGCTGTCAGTGAAGTGATAAACACTCCCTTGTGTGGAAGTTGTAGTTTAATGTAGGTGGCTCAGTGAACTATTTTGGGTATCAGTCAGAAGAAGACCAAATGGTGTGATAAGCAATTTAAAAGGAAACATTTTACAGCTGTTTCTTTAAGCTGTAAATCACATTTGACTTACCTTGTATCTTGGAGCTAATTTCATCAATTCTCTTAAGGCCACATCTGTTCCTACCACGCCCAGCAAAATCCCATGAGACAGCTGGAGAGAAAAGGACACCAGAGTTAAATTCAAAGAATTATACAAGGCCATGCTACCTTTACGGTCAACAGACTTGCATTTGCACAACTTTGACAGGAAAAACAAATAGAGCCAAACTTTGAATCCATTATAATCTGTATTGATGTATGTACTTCCCTTCCTTCTGTACTCATGCATCCTTATAAACATAAAACCATAAATTTAGCTAATTAAAAAAGGGCCAACTTACAGTTTCTTCCTTCTTACTGAAAACAGGCATGGCGACTGAGGTCATCAGGAGCAAACTCTGTGCCTGAGTGTTAAACAGCTGCAATACAAAAGATATATAATATACACTTAAACTTCTGTTGAAACAGTGACTTAAGGACACATTCATTACTTGCCAGACAAAGTAGTCAAAGAAAAGCAAGAAAATATGACACTTATGAAAAGTTAATGAAAATTAGGTGAATAAATGAATGAGTTCAAAAGAATACTTTTTGCATTTTCAGATTTGTAAGACTATCATATGTATAAGACAAAGATTACTAACATGCTCTATGGTCGGTTTCTAACAAATCAAACTGAGGAGCATAATTAGCCAAGTTCAGGCTTAGAAAAACAAACATCTACAGACAACAAAATACTCTCTCAAAGCTGTTAGATGGAAACAGCATTCTAAGCAAGACCCCTTACACAAATACCCTTCGGTTATAAAACTACCGGTAAGTTAAAACTCCAATTATGATTACCTCATCTTTATTGGGTAGCTGAATGGGTTGATGGAGAAGAGGAGAAAACAAAGCAGAATGAAATGCAAGACAACAAAATGAAAGAATGACAAGGAAGGAAAAATGATGAACAAAGAAGATGCCCCAAAACCCAAAGAGGAAGATTTGTCTCTGTTCTAACTCTATTATATTCATTCTGCCCAACATGTTTGTGAATAATGAGAGAAGAAGACTGACCACACTATCCATGTAGGCCTCTGTCCAGATGATGTCGTGGTCATGGTTGATAACCATTGGTCGACTGAGAACGTGGAGATATTCCATGACGTTTTCCTGAACATCAGCCAGTGTGGACACGTGTGTGTAATAACCTGCAGGATAAGCAAATTCATACCAACACATTTCACTTACCTGGAAAATTTAGAGTCCATAAAATATTAGAGCAATTATTATGATATAATTATGGTAGATTTTTTTTATTTATTAATCCGTTTGATTTCTATTGATACTAAAATAAAACAATGCATTATTTTACCAGACATCTTAATATACAAAATTACCTAAATGCGTGTGTCAAAAACTCTACTGTGGTTTGACTTAGTCCAGGTTTTATGTAATTATGAAAGTATCAAATGAACAGTCTTAGGAAAATACTAACATTCCCAAGAATATTTCCTGGTCAGTTTAACAGATTTCTGTTAAACTGACCAGCTCTCCATTCCCTGCTCAACAAAAGCATGATGCCTCCACCACAATTTGCCATAAAGATGCTATGTTCAATCTGAGGTTTGTGGTTCTAATATGACAAAATGTATGAAGATGTAAGGAATATAAATACAGGAACTGTATCAGTATGGAGGAATTACCAGAACCAAAATTTCATTGAATGCTGCATCTTTCTGATCTGAGCTGATGCAGATCACATTGTAATTCACAAGGGGGCAGCAACTGATAGCTACAAAAGCCTAAATTCTGATCCAATTGAAAATAAGGAACCTTCATCTCTACTCTGATACTGACATGATTTTTCTTCAGTCTCTGGTTGAATTATTGGGTTGGGGTTTCTCTGAAACATTTCAAACAAAAACATAAATTAGCTTTACCCTTGTTGTTGCAGGCGATCCATTTAACATTTTCAGCAAAAGTCATCTCGCGCCCAATGAGATACGTGAACACTCGGACCTGCAGAAACAGGTAAGAAATGTGTAAGCGGCAGAAAACGCCCCACATTCAGTACTCTAAACAGCTGAATTTAAAAAAATGTCACACCCGACGTTCTGGAAAGTTAAACTCTTCGAAAACATCCTTGAAGTCCTCCATGGCGCCGTCTGTTATCAGCATGATGGCCTGGTTGCACAGACTGCCCTGCCCCAGTGCAGCAGCCTAGACATATTCATCCACAAATAACTGCACCATTTCACAAAAGAAATTTGCTTATAGCTATATATATATATATTCTTTTTTGGGGAGGGGAAAAGAATAGAGACTAACCTCGTTAAGGACCTTGAAAGACTCCTTCATTGCTTTTTTTACTTTGCCTTCTCCTTTGACTTGAAGCTCATCCACCAAAAGCTTGAAGTGCTGTAAAGTCAGATAAAATACAGTTAGACAACATCACTTCTTCATTGCTATTTTAATTTCGCCAAATGCAGGTAACCTGACTCATGTTTTAGGAGGTGGAAAAAATATAGAGAGACTCTGCAGTCAAGGGCTTATGCTTGGTTGACTGGCACACTGACCAATAAAAGCAAAGTTACTACAGCTCCAGGAGGTAATCAGGATTAATTAACACATGCACACATGGATGCAATAGCCTTCTGCGGTTGGACTTCACAGAAAATGTAGGTTAAAGATAACTCAAGCCGCAGACTCTTTATTTGATGTTGTCAATATTTTCTAAATTGAGAAAAATATATTGTTAAAAATGTACCTATTGTCACTCTTTTGGTACATTTGCAATAATATGTATTGGTAAAATCCAGAAAAAAGAGAAACATGGACATTTTTTACAAATTTAATTTTACCAAAAGGGAAAAAATGGGAAAGAAAATTGGGAAAAATCTGCAACACACAGTGTCTTACAAAAGTATGTATATTCCGTGACCTTTTCCACATTTTGTTCCTTTGCAAACACAAAACTAAAGGTGTTTTGTATTTTAACAAGTTAACAAGTCAAAATAAGTTGGATGGAGCCTGTTCTAGAAGCCAACCATTTGGAGGCTGCAAAAGACTTGAGACCCGATGTGAGGTTCACTTTCCAACAGGATAATGACTCTAAACACACAACCAGCACTACAGTGGGATGGTTCATATCAAATATAATTATGTGGTCAAATAGCCTAATCAAAGTATAGATCTACATCTAATCCAGACTGAGGCGTGCCTTGAAAATTGATGCTCACAAAGTGCAAAATACAACGTTCCTGACCTTCAGCTAATTTGCAAAAAAAAAAAAAAAGTTCCACTTTCTAGCTGTGTAAAGCTGCTGGACACTGCAGCAAAATGTGTTTTGACAAAATGTTGAATCAGGAATGCCAATTACAAACACACTCAATACTTTTCACTTTCTACTCTGGGAAAAAAATAATTGTTTAACACTACACAACTTCACAATTACACACCACTCTAAAATCCTTCACACATTGAACCTTATGGTGGTAGCAATTATTATTATTATTATTTTTTATTTTAATGAGTGTGGATGTTATTTTAGGCACTGTCTAACTCACAAAAACAAGCACTCACGTTTGGAAGCTTGGGAAATCTTATCATGAGCTCCTGTTTCATTAAATAGGTTTTGGAAAGACATGGCTGCCGAGCGTTCTTTAATAAGGACAAACAAATGTGCCAGCTAACATCTGTCCATTCTCCTGCAGCCCTTCTCTGTGCATTCAGCCAATCAAATCCCACCTTCACATGCCACATGACGTGCTTATAAAACTGTCAGCGGCCAGCGACCTCACCTGATCCGTAACAACGTGGACGGGAGTGAAAGTAGGGCATACATCCAGCAAACAGAAATGCACATGTTACAGCACAGCAGACAGACCAGGTGTTGGGAAATCAAAACATGAGAACGGATGAGCAGGAGGAGAAAAAAATGATTGCAGTAGTAAAGCAATGAGATATTATTGAAACTGTTTTTATTCACTCTAAACATGAAATAACAAGGAAATAAAAGATGTGGCTTAAAAGTAAGGGGTATAAAAAAATGTTTGCTTTCAAATACCAGAAGGGTCTTACAGTGAATGTTACAATTACAGCACATTCTTACATAAAGGATTTAATTATTCTTTTTCTATCCATATACACTAATATTTATTTAAAACGCTTAAATGTGACACAATAAATAGGAGAAGCATGGAATCCAAGCTGAACCAGCAAATCACAGTGCAGAGAAACATATAAATGTTTCCAATAGTTTTCTAATTTACTGAGATGCAGCTGAATTATGCTGACCTACTGCCGGCGAGAAGCAGAATAAAATGCCCCTGAGACCTTGACTGTGAACTTTACCTGTGATGTTTAACTATCATGTGAATCTCTGTCATCAGAGGATTAGCAGGATTGGGTCAGCAGAAGCTAATTGTATTAATTAGCTGTGAGCCAGTATGCGCCTGGCTTTTTTTGTGTGTGTGTGTGTGTTTATGCTTGTTACCTCTCTGTTATCCAGATCAGCTTGTACCAGCATGCCCTTGAAACAGGGTTCCACGTAGCGAACATAGTCACTGTACTAGAGAGAAACCAATAAAATGAGAGAAATGAGGAAACATTTACGTAGTAATATAGAAAGGTAATAGGAATTTTAAAAAAGTTAATATTTTCACATTCATTCAATTGAAAGTCTTGCAATCTTTCATTCTTTAAAATAACAGCTTCACATTCCTGCGCGTTCTTATACTTACAGCTATGATGTTTACAAAGTCATTTTCTCCCAGAGTGTCTAGGATGGTATTAATTGTGTGCTTGGCTATCGTCAGTCTCAGCCCCTTCATGCTGCCACTCACATCCACCACGATTATCACGTCTTTGGGAGAAGTGGCAGCCTGTATGTACCTAAACAGACAGGAAAAGATAAAGATGACGTTGACAAGGAAGTGTAGGAACGGCGCAAGGGTTATCCTTTTATTTGTTCCTCCAGTCTTCCGTTTCTTGTGTACCATCATCCCTTTATTGTCATCCTCTGACTTTCTAAGCCAATTACACGCAAATGAGATTTCCACTGTAGCAGATGTGATTGGAAGCAGTCGAGACCATTTAGCGCTGTGATTTCCGCTTTCCAAAACAACAGCCTGTCTCTCTAAGAACGTTGCAAAGTTCCTGGAACTTCATTAGCTGTACCATGAAACTTTCGAGGAAGGCAAAATCTGTTTGTGCAGTCTTACTCCTGGAAATGTAAGTCACAGAACTGCATGTTTTACTTGATTATTTTTATGAAAAGAGGTAATCTTACCTCATCGCCTTTTTAATAGAACATACGTTTTAAAAATGTAGGCTATCATACAATGTGTTCCTATTTTGTTGAAACTAAAGACTGGTGCCTGCCTGTGAAAATGAGATATGCTGCAGGAAAGAAATTAATCGATAACAACCTAGAGGAGGCTGATGAACTCTGTCACAAAGTCTGGGAAGAATGTAGCTGAGATTTAAAATGTAAAAAAAAAATTTTTTATTTCTAACATTTTTAGTAGCAGGTAACATGTTTGTTTTGAAAAGACATCACTGCGTGACTGATGATGGAAAGGTTGAAGCTTTACCAGTTTCTGTTTCTGCAGTCAAAGGTGACCACGCCATTTTCATCTGGAATCCACTGGATTCCTGGGAATTTAAAAAGCAAAAAAAAAAAAAAAAAAAACAGATCTGAGAGTCAGTACACAGAAGAATTTAACAGCAGCCTTCTTTCGCCCAAAGGTAAATAACTGTACAGCTCCTGCCATATCTACTGCCACCATCCACTGAATTTTATATACAACAAATCAAGTAAGTACCCTGTTTGACTTGAGAAGTTTAAAATGTATCCGCACAGTAACGCACCCATTACTGTGCATTATCGGCACAGTAATGGGTGAAAATACAGCAGGTGAATTTGCAGGATGCAGAAAAGTCTCTCAGTATACCTGGGTAGAGCCTGAAGAAGCCTGTGGCACTGCCAAAATATTGCCAGGTGAGAGTTGGATCCTTCTGGAAATTATCAATAAAAATATCATTCAGAGCCTCAGACATGTAGACCCCATTTAGAATATCAGGATCTGTAAAAAGAGAGAGAAAACCAATTTGGATTACAAAAGAGATTTACTGCATTTGTAGGAAAATCCAAGCTATATGATTTTGTTACCTCGATTGTAAACATTTGTAGGAACTTGGATGTTACTCTGCTGTGTGCTAACTGGAAGTTTATTGAAATGTTCATTTTCCTCCAAGAGGAATTCTCCACCAAGTGGTATTGGATAGCCCTCCTCATCCACAGTGTTGATCAACAGGGAGTTAAAGTAGTCAAACTGGGCAGAAAAAAAAGAACAGATGCTTGTAAGGCAGGCCAGTTTGGGGCATAAAAAAACTTTGTGACAAATTCACTTTCTCATATCACAAGACAATTACACCACCGAAACACAAAACCAGCAAACACTGCAGTTGTTGTTCTTGGGCACCTTTTTCTAGCATACTTTTTCTTGCCACTCAACTTTCCATTTATATGCTTTAATACAATACTCTGAACAGAAGTGTTAAAGATGCAGCAGTCTGTCAGGTTAACAGTCTTTACCAGAGTGTAGATCTGTCTCTGTGTTATGAATCTATGAAGTATAAAAGCTTTGCAGAAAGGAAATTCTGCTTATTAAAAGCCTAATAAAAATAAAGACATAGGCATTCAATCGGCACTTCTGGGGTTAATAATATAATTTCACACAATTTAACACAGCTCTTGTAAATTGGTAATGCTGAATATAGTAAAAATATGTAAACAAGATAAAATGATGATCTGGATTCTTACTTACCTCTAGTGTTTCATTGTATTCATGCCCAAGATCAGCATCTTCTGCTGCTTCTGCTAATCTCTGCGGCAAAACACAACTTCTTAATGACACTCCAAACTATGCTCATGTTACTGAAGCAATTATAATGATTAATAAAGCAACAGTTATTGATGCTGAATAAAACAAGCAGCAGACTCTCTGCATTAAACATATCGTCTGTTCACTTCTCTAGGATGTCGTTATTACCTTCACTGATTTCATTTTCCTTCCGAGCATCTCCTCCATTTCCTCTGCAAACTTCTTTGCCAGCTCTTCACCGTTAACCTCCTCCATCTTCACCACGCCCTCCACATCCTTATATTTCTTCAAAACAAATTTTACCCGTTTAGCCAAGTCCATATTTTGCATACTTAAACATTTGCTGTTAAAAATCTAGACTAAGCATCTACAAGCTACGTTTGGGTTGCCACCCACTATGGTCAAAGTGCAGACTAATTGCAAAAGTGACTCTGCTATGCTCACATTAATAAATTGAGCACCGATAAAATAACCATCAATGCTGATGGGTTTAATTCCTGTGTCTCCTGAAGACGCGGTGAGAACAGATTCGGAGTTTGCAATTGGTTTTGTGGAGAAACTCGACTGCTTTTGGGTCAAATTTGTTAAGCAGCTTTTCAAATCTACTTCTGCTGCAGCTTAGTGTCTTTATGTAAATCATGAAGCCAGACAGAATCTTGTTCTGTACTATGACAGGCAAATTGAAAAGAAACGTCAGGTCTCGTATTCTGGTTAAAAAACATAAATCATGCCACTTTGTTGCTGCTAAGAAAGATTCCTAAACTCTACAAAAACTAGGACAGCTTGTTAAAATCATACATATTCATAGTTCCACTTGATATAAATGTGCATAAGTTAACTGTTTTGACAGTTAATTTTTTTAAAGCTTTTTAGGGATAATTGGTAAAGATGAACAAATCTAATGATGACTGGATATATTTCCTAAAATTTTCAAATATGAAGGGGAATAAAGCATAATAACCTATACTCATTTGACCAGAAAAAGGCTTCAAAAATGAATTATAAGACTTTGTGAACACATTGTAAAATCATTTATCAAAGTCTAACAAATAAATCAATTTAAAACCTATTTAATGTAGAGGGTTTGTTTACTTTCACAGAAACAGTTTTTAATTTTCCCCTACCAGGGAAGCAGATATAAACAAGAGAAAGTATTATAAAGAAAGGATTATGAGGAGCTCTTTGCAGCCTACAGCAAATAAAAACAAAGCTGTGGCCTACTGAACAAAATCAAAATGTTCTTTCATGATTTTGCAACTGAAAAACATTTAATAGCTTCGCTGGGTTAGACAAGGAAGAGGGTCATAAAACACTCTGCAACTAGAAAGCCATTGATTAGACACAGGTAGGTGATTAATGGCTTCATGTTGCCAAGATTAAACTAATGTACTGGATGCTTTTTACACACCGGCGGCCAAAAACAAAGATAAGCTTCTAAAATATGAGAAAGTGACACGGTCTGCATAAACACAGCCAATAATAGTAGAGTCACTGTGCAAATTTGTGTGAAAACAAAGGATTTACATATCTAAATGGGAATATTAATGTCCTGAACGAATGCATGCCTTGGATATATTTCAGCATCCAAATCTCTTGGGAGAGATTTTATTTTACAACACATTTAGTAAAAGACCAAAAAGTTAATGAAAGGTATAAGAATAAAAACACACAATACAAGTGTGGCAGATGGTGAATGGGCCTGCCAGGGACTCTAGAGGGTGGCATGCAAAGACAAATTACATCTACTAACAACTGAAAAACATATCAGAGCAGTATTTAGGTTAGCCGTGTCACTAGATTGGTCTATGGTTATTGAGATGTTGCATGGAAAATGTATGCCACTAAACTCAAAAGTAATGAGTGGTTTTCCTTTTAAACTTGTCTTCGAATATTGTTTTCTTTCTGCATAAAAAAGCAGCAGCCATGATTAGTTAAATTAATTTGTTAAGATTTGTGTATTACCGTAATCTAAGTATTCTGACAGATAGAAGGTAATGCAAACAGCTTGATTCATTTCTTTGCAAAACATCTGTGAAGATGTACTGTAAATGTTTTTAATCCTTAATACGTAACTATCATTGGCTTTGACTCAGCAAAAGGTGTGTGAAATTCCCAAACTACAGGGAATATTTCCCAGATGGTGTATGAAGCACTTTGGAAATATCTACTGACTGACATCTGTTTTGTTCAGAAATGGGTCAGTTAGCTTTTACTGCGTGAACATGTGGGTTATCTTACCTTCTGTAAAAGTTTAGCTCCAGAGTATCTATTCGACAAAGCAGCAATCTCTTTCCCAAAGGACACAGCCCACTGCTGCACACTGAACACAAGAAAAAAACAACAAAACACACCATTCACTTCTTAAAAGTTGTTATTATTGTCTGAATTGCTCCAAAGTCAAATTTGCATTTGTGCCTTATCTCTAGTTCTAATTGTTTGATTATACCCAAATCTTGGAATATTGTTGTAAAATGTAACCACACTAAAGAAGAAGAAAAAAAAACATGTATAATTTTTCTTTCACTGAAAAATGGCAAACTAATATTCAAATAAGACACATTGTCATTTGCAGTTTTAAAAATGACAAAATGTAAGAAAAAAAATTCTTTAGATGCTGCTAACATTGCAGCAAGGTGGTTCCCCAATGAGATTAAATGAGATTAATGAAGGTGACAGTGGAAGAGGACAGACATGGCTGCCAGGCCAAAGGGTTATTCTGTGCTCAATAACATGCAGTAATTCTACAAATCCTCTGTGTGAATGCAACTGAGATAAGGTCATAGCGTAGACAGGATGTGACAGATGGCTCCACCTATGGGGAGTCAGCCAGCTCACTGGGACTTAGACAGCTTGCTCCCCTCAGTACTGAACACTCTCAGTATTTGCTGACTTGTTGACAGATTCATTACAAACTGTTTATTGAACAATGAGAGCTTTTAGGGAAGTTTAAAAAAAAATTGTCTTTACTTTCTGAGATTTCAAAAACTGCAAGGAAGATTCAGTCTTTGTCACTCAATGCAGGAAGAGTGACAATATGATGTGTAATAAGACTATTTCATTAACATTTGGTCCAATTTAAAACCTGACCAAAACCCAAGGATGTGGTAAGCCGAAAATAAAGTTCATCATCTAAAAAGATAGTAGAACAGGAAATAAATTTGTGACCTGAAATGTTTTGCCAAACTAATTTTTCATGTTTTTATACTTACTCAGATTTGGAAAGTGATCAAATCAAATTCCATACTTCTCCAAGTACGACTTTAACACATTAAAGTTTGTTGAATGTTTAATATTTCTTTTCAATACGATTTTTATCATCCTGTCTATCAAAAAAAAATAAAAAATTGGAAGGACTTGTGCAAATGTTTTTTCCTTGTAAAATTTTTTTTCCTAATGGTAGCAGTGTAGTGATGCTGCCACAGCAACTAAAGAGCTGACCCCTTCTGACGTGAAATGTAACAGTCATTGCTTTGTTTACTTCCAGTGAAGCAACAGCCTCGCTGCCAAATCTTCGGACGTCATAATAAATTTTGTGTCAAGTGACCTGAGGTGACCTAAAAAACTCCTGCTTTAATTCTTAGTCACTCTGGTCCGATGACACAATTTTCCTACAGCTATAAAACATCAGCAGCCACATCAGAGGGGTTTTCAATTATGAACAAATGATTTAAAAAGAGAGGCAATTACTTCATCCACAGATACTTTGGTTTAAACATTGTTTTTCTTTTGGTAAATGAAATCTTCATTTGAAAACTGAATGTTGTATTTACTCATAACAAAAGAGCAGAAATCTGTAAGGAGGTAAATACTTTATCACAACAGTTAAGGATAAAACTAGGTAACATGACCAGATGTTTTACTAAATTTGGAAACGTCTAGTTTACAATTGTAGAAATAGATAAAATTATATGTTATGGTCAGAAAAAAAACAGATTATCATTCTCTGTCTGTGGCAGCTGAAAGATTGTAGGATAATTTGGCAGTTCTTTGTATCCCACAGGTTAACAGATGGCCCATACAGTATGCTTAAGCCAAATTGGAAAAAACAATATTGAGTCATCCATAATGGCAATGGCTTTAAGAACAACCATGCTGCTGGTGGATTTAAAAGCGTACACTTGTAAACTACCTGATCAAATTGTCTTTCGACATTAAGCCGGAAACCTTATCGCTGCACGGCAGATCGATGCGTTTCACTTTGAGAAGAAACAATAGCCACTGATAGATTCATTTTTAAAACAAATATTTATGTAAACTTTTCAACAAATTAAGTTGATTTGAGAGGGGTTTGTTTTCTCCCTGGTTTATAGGTCTGCCAGAGTTGTACTTATTGCAGCTGTACTCACGTTTCTGGTGGGATCTTCATCTGGCCGTCAACCATCAGGCACAGTGAGCCAGAGAGGATAATCCACATCAGCATCATCAGCCTCCTCCTGCGTGGCCCACTTCTGCACAATTTAATGGCATTCCCAGCGTTTCCCAAGCTACAACAGCTCATCCATGCAGCTGTTGCAATCTGCATCTTTCCACCTATTGCTGCAGACTGGCCAAAGCAGAACATAAATCATGGAGTTAGTGTTAAAAGAATTTAAAACAGTAATTGTTGTCATTTGGACTGTGTCCAAATTAAGAGATAAAAACATGAGTAGTATCCACCTCTTGCTGTCGATCTAAAAAGCTGTACAAACAATTTTGGTCCTGAACACCCAGCTAAAATTCTGACCGGAAGAAGCATTAAATAGTTAAGAAAAACCAAAACGTAAGCAAAGTTCTTAAAAATTTTACTACTCCCTTGGAAAATAGATTTATTTTAAAGAACTGCACTGCTAAAAATGATAGGTGGTTCTGCGAATTACCCAGCATTGGCTATTTGACTTTGGTCAAATAGCGCGACAATGACATAATGTAATTTTACTGTATGATTTAGTTCTTCACTTGAAAAACTATGACTCTTTGGCTTTGTGTCAATCTGAACACAGTAAAACCTTCTCTTTTTTTTTAAATAAAGTGTACCAAAGTGTAAAATGAATATGCAATTAACCATAAGCAAATCAGAGCATTTCCAAAAATCTGCTGTGGAATAACAAATTATCTTTAAAGGTATCAGTGCTGTGGGGGAAAAAAAGAGAAACCAAGATATCCAGTTTCCCAGCAAACGTTTCTGTCTTATTCAGGGTTCCAATGTATTCCCAGGTCAAATGGGATGTAGACAAGACAACTTTCCTATAGTCAATTGGGAACAAAATACCAAGATACTTGAATTCTACTGCAGAATCTCATGCACACTGACTCAAACAGAACCACTTCATCTGCAAAAAGTAAAGTGGAGACCCTGAGGTTACCACGTAACCACCCAACATGGTCAGAAACAAGGGACATCAAAGAGAGCAAACTAAAATTTTTACTGAGAACATAGAAACAGCTCTTATATTCAAAATAATGGACTGGAAAGCCGGATAAAAGTGGCTGAAATAAGCTTCCTTCGTAGGGTGGCAGGGCTCAGTTTGATGTATAGATTAAGAGGCTCTGCATCAACAAACTAAAAGAAGTTTGAAGTGAACTGTTCATCTAATCAGGATCTCTTTGGAGGTTTTCTGGGAGGTCCCAGTGTGAGGAAACCCTGACTGAGGTGGTGGGTCCACATGTTCTCTGTGGTTTGGGGTGGCCCGGCCTCCCCCTGAATGACCTGTAGAGCATTTCCAGGGAAAAGGATGTCTCGGTTTCCCTTCTGAACTTGTTGCGTCAGCAACTTGATCTTGGACAGGTGGAAACTTAAAGAGGCCCTTAAAGGCTTCTATTCATCTGCAAAATTATCTTGACTGTTGTGTGGCCTTTCACTAAGCGCAAAAACTGAGTTCTTTCTGGTGGTAGAACTCAAAAGTAGTCCATAATAATATGCAGATAATCAGTGTTGTGTAAAAACAAGTAACACCGCAATGTAATATTGTAGTAGCAGAGGATAGTACTCACTGTGTCATATTTTAAAGGTTTTAAGAGGCATGCTGATTAGAAGAGATAGTTACTAGACGTTGAACAAAAAAAGTCCGAATGACTGGTTTGCTGTCAGCTGAGCTGGGTATCCCCACACATGAAAGAACGGGCAATGTTTTAACCCGGATGTCAGACGTCACTTCTGTGTACAAGGGGTCCCATTTAAGTCCTGTCATTCTTCAACACTTCACTTTCCAGGGCTTTTGATATGATTTCTATTACGTCTATCCTCCACTTCTTTCTTCCATGCTTCTCCTCTCTTGAATCCAGGAAAAAAAAAAATAAAAAACTGAAAAGAAAGAAAATACTAGACACAAATTCAGTCCAGCTCAGTCTTTTTTTCTTCTTTTTAAAAAAGGAGAAGGAACATGTACACTTCCAGAAAGTAATGTGAGAATTTTCCACCGCTCTTCCAGACAGCTTCACATGGTCCTGGTTGAAAAACAAAATTGCCCGAAACAAAAGAATTAACATGCAGAGAGCCGATAGATGGACTGATGAATGGATTGTAGGGACATCCTCTCTCTCCAGAGTATCTTTTCCTTCTCTCTTCCAGCACCACTTTATACCATAATCCAACCAGGATTAAACCCCTCCTCCCGCCATCCCTCTCACAGTCCACTGATACAATATCGCTCCATTTTCTCTTCCAGCAGTGCTTTGCTCCCTGCTTTTCTTTCTGGTTGTCTTTCGCCCTGTTTTCTCCTAATCTTTCTCACCCACTTTTGCATTCTTCTCAGAAATGTGAACTCAACTTTTCTCTCTCTCTTTTTTTTTTTTTTTAGCTTACTAAGATTACACTGGTTGGAAAAACACAGAAAGCGGGAAAAATGTGAACAACTAATGGTTGAAGAAGAATTAGTGTTGCACTTGGTAGGATGGGTTTTCTCATTGTATTTCCAGGCTGTTTTAGTGGGACAAGGGAAACTTTCTTTGCTGAGAAACAAACAAACTGAGACACCTAGTGGACTCTCATGTGAACAAATCAGTTCTTTCAGTTTAGCATATTTAAATCTTTATACTAAGGTTAAAACAGCATTCATTTTGTTCATTTTCAAATACATTTGAAGATCAATAACAAGCACAATAAGCATTATAACAATTTTTTCTATAGCAGTTAGTGCATATGTGATTTTTTTCCCCCCTTAAGCACATCCACAATGCACTCAAGCAATCAAAGACCAATAAATGTAGATAACATGCACAGATTCAGCAAGCAGACTTAGTGAATTATACAAGCACATCAAGATTTACAGTAAAACATCTGTTCATTTGAGTTTGGCTTAACAACAAATATAGTCAAACTAAGATTAGAAAAGCAGAAAACTAAAACAGTTCTTAATATCAATGACAACAGTGCAGTATCGAAGGGGACATACAGCATTAATACTTCTTCCAAATTGAACTTAAAGCGTTCCACATAATAACATGCTTCATTGAACAATTTCTCAAAATTGTTCAATGAAGCAAATTCAGTGTTCATGTAGATAAAATGTGAGTTTTTTTTTAGCCTTCAAATTACCATTTGTTTTGTCCATCTTTCCATTTTAGGTTTGATCAGATCTCGGTCTTATTTGGTAATTTGCCTTGCATCCAATATTAGAACAAACATGCAAGTAACAGCAGAATTGAAAAAATTAAGAGGTCTCTATAATTACACAGAGGGACAAAAAAGTATTACTCACCTCTATCACTGAAGAGCTGAACTGTTATTCCAACTTGTGTCCGTTCTGAGCAGCTCCACCATTTGAGAATAATCTAAGAATAAAAATAGATCTCAACAGTTCAAAGTTTTATGTATAACATTGTGCCTGCGCGACCCATCAGATGTCGGCACAAAGCCTTCTGTCTGTGAGTTCAGTAGTAAGGAAAGTGGTGAGCCTGGCTCTTTGAACTAAACAAAAACACACAGTGTACACCAGTCATTGATTAGTCTGGGCCAGAGCTAATAGTCAGCCTTTACGTTTAGCGCCATCAGCTGAACCAGCGATCTGAAACCTTATCTTCTTAGGGAAAGGGATGAGCATAATTCCTCAAAAATCAAGATTTACAAAAGTTTTAGGTTTCCATCATTTGTTGAAGCATGTGAACTGAAACAGGTTCAGTTTACACAATAGAAGTTTTATACTGATAATCTGCAACTGTAAATCCTCGTGCCGATGCCAAGCACAATGTCGACAGGGGAAAGGAAGCAGGAAGGAAAGGAGAAAAAGGGAGAGGCTGACGAAACCTTCAAGCAGAACGGGAACAGTCGGCCTCTGATCATTTCACATGTTGCTTACTTTTGTTTGGGTTTTCACTAATGGCGCCATTAGGAGCACCGAAGACACGAAATATTCATGCAAACGACACACAAAACATTTCTTTCAGTACAAGTATAAGAACAACTCTAGAGTCATTAATATGTTTAAACACACCCATCATTGGCACGAATGGTATTCACATTTTAGGACTTTATTAACCAACTGAACCATTTTTTTCAAGGCAGGATGACGTTATGGTACACAACAAATTTTCAAAACATGAATTGGATACACACGTTGGAATTTGTTGTTGATTTTCTCAAAAATATGCAAGATGTTTTGCTTTCTAGCCACATTTTTAGTGTAACTAGACACCTAAATGTGTTTAGAGATTTCAACACATTTATGTTGGATTCCTTTGGTGATTCTACATGAACAAAAAACACTGACTTTGTTACAGTTAATTACCAAGGTCTTTCCATTCTGCTGGTTGTGTAAAAGCTCCTGGTTAGTCACTGTGGACATTACACTGCACCATCGATTTCTTTAAAATAAGGCAATAAAGTGACATGAAAGCAATGATGAGATATTTTTAGCGATTAGTGTTATCTTTGGGTTCCATCCATCTTCAAGAGAAATAATCAGAAAAGCAATGAACCAAACAGAGAAAAGAAAAACACAGGGATCATGGGATAGAACATTTATTGTCAATTAACAAAATATCTTTTGGAAAATAAAAAAAAAATAAGTAGAAACAATTCTTATCTATTTCTTTGAATTAAAAGAAAGCAATACTTCAATTAAAATATAAACATCTTAAAAATTAAATGCAGCGTTCTTTTTTCTGGTGCGGTGAAAGCTACATGTTGTCCTTCTGGAATACAAAAATAATGTTTTATTTTAATAAAAACATCTGCTGCTTTTGTCTGACTGCTACAGTATAGACCAGCTATGTACAACGTTACAGCAAAAGCTAAACACACAACGACACTTCCAACATAAGAATTTCTAACCAAGCATAACCAAGTAGAAGTGGACAGACAGGATATGCCTCAACTTTCCCTGTTGCGTTTGAAATCGTTTCTGTCATTTACAGATCAGTTCAATCAAACCGAAAAAGTAAGACGTGAATAAAATGTTGAACTGTGCAAATCTTATATTGACATAGTCATATTTTTATTTGTTTCATGAAGCTCACTTTGTGGCAACGACCTGAGCATTTCAGCATGCTAAAACATTGCTGTTATGAGTACATTTTAAAAACTAACATTTTATTATTCTATCTGCTCCTATATTTTTTTGTTTGCATTTCTTTTTTTTCCTTGTTGTGAAGAACTTTATGATTCTCATCTTGAAAGGTTCAACATAAAGCTTTTTTATTATTATTATTACCCTTAAAAACTGTTGTTTGTTAAAATCAAATCTAAATGAGCAAACTGTGAGGTAGCTTTGAATAGATTTCTATGTTAGTTTATTCAAGTTGGAGTAAGACCATAATTTTTCCGCTCATAAAAAGGACAAAGAACTACTATTGTCATAAAGAGCCATGGATGTCCACATATTGCATTTCAATAATGACCACTTTCAAACAACTGTCCTCCATGTTTAATTAGCTTTTTTCACAACAGTTTTCTTTTCTCTGTGTCTGAGCCAAATGAGTGGTTGTGTCAGTAAACTGCTACTGTCAATTCAAACTTCCTGTTTACCTCCAAAAAAAATAATCTTAACTTGAAGTGACTTTTTAAAGCCAAATTCCGTGTTGTAGGAAAAACTGCAAATGTACATATAGAGCTTGATTAACAGTCCGTGTCCTAAAACTAGTATCTTGAGGTTTGATTACTGTTATTCAGTTTAAACCCCCAAAATACAGATTTGGACAAGTGAGTCTTTTACGACCACTGCATAGCTCAGAAATGCCAAAAAGGAGACTTTGTTGCCAACACTGGGTAGACACTGCGTTAAGGACGGAGTTTTAGTCCTTGTCCGGGTTTAGCAATCCAACAACAATATTTGCTGCATTCTGGGCTGATTATTTCTTTCACATTCTTATAATTATTTTTCAGTTCCAAGCATTTGAAAGGAACGGTTCTGAACTACAAGCCAAAACACATTTGGGAAAAAAACAAAACAAATATATGCCGTTGAAATGTCACATGCCTAATTTAATCATTTTTTTTTAATAATGTTAATTGACATATTTGCTGCAATTGGATTCTATAAAAAAAAAAACAAATCAAAGTCCAAGTTTGAAGCCTGTTGGCCGATATTGACATTTGCTAAAAGAGTGTTATATTGTTATGCAAGACCTGAATAAACTGTGCAGAATATAATTTGTAGTTGTCATTATCATTTTTTAAAAACCATTAGCGGTGTGTTCTTATTATAGTCAATATAATGTAGCTAACATTTGTAATTTAGACTGAAAAAGTGTATTTTACTGCTAAAAGCAAAAATATTTTGCATTTCCATTCCTGTAGTTGTCTTTTAAAAGATTGGTCTAAGTGAGTTGGACTGTATTAAATACAGTAGGTAAGAATTGGAGGAAGTGGTTCATTAAATATCAAATTCAGCCCTTGGACAGGAAGTGTGTGCAGACAGGCAGCGGGTGTGAAGAGTCATCAGTACTTGCTGCCGGAGCTGTTAGCGAAGCGGCTGACGTACGCTGTATAGATGGAGTCCAGGAATGAGCTGTCAGTCTGAAACACAGTAAGCAAGTAAACTTAGCACAGAAAGCTGTTTTTAAGCATGCGTGCTTATTACCATAGAGTGTACACGCTGCATTTACATTGTTTAAGAGTTTAAATACAACAATTCAAATGCAAAGTGTCAGGTATGTTTAATGGTTTTACCTGAATCAGATGCAGCAGTGCTGCTTGAAGCTGGCTTCTAGAAAGAGCTCTGACCTCCTCCTGCAGTGAGGGTTTGCATAAGGTTGAGGGTACAGAGCTGCTTTCTGGAGCAGCCACTGGTAGCCTGCTGCTGGACTTCGTCTGAGTGAACACACTGGGAGAGAGGAGCAGGGTGGGGGCCACTGTGGCAGGTATCCGCTGAGGGGAGATGATCTGCACAGACAGGGACAGGGATTAAAGTGGAACTCAGTGTACACATCCAGACTGAAAGCCGTAGATCACCATGAACGATTTAACAACTGAGGACATAAATTCACATGCAACAGCAGCTGGTAACATTAGATTCAAGCCGTGGAAAATATGAACAGAAACTTTTAAAAGTATTTCTATCTCTTGCACCTTTACATAGTTTGTCATGTCCCAAAACAAAAATAT